AAAAACTCAGCTTGCTCTTCTGCCACTGTTGGGCCATACTTTTTGATGTGGACTTCCCAACTGGAAAAATCTTCTCGTGCGTTAGCTCTCAAAAGGGACTTGTGTAGCAAGCACCATTCGTGCTATGTGGTAAATATTTCTTTTATAAATGATTAGTCTGTCCAATTGTCCATAAAATAAGACTGTTAATTTCTTTTATGTTTCTGATTTTAACATTGGCAACAGTGTGACTGTGAATAATTTAAAAATTATAACTCCCAGAATTTAGAAATAGCCTCAAGCAGAGTCAGTTGTGTGTGTGTGTGTGTGTGTGTGTTTGGTGTTCACTGTATTAGGAATGAATCGTTGTCCTTGTCTTTGCACCCAGGATTCATTTTATGTAGCTTTTATTTATCTGAGCATATCTCCATGAGAGTCCAGAATTTAGAAATAGCCTCAAGCAGAGTCAGTTGTGTGTGTGTGTGTGTGTGTGTTTGGTGTTCACTGTATTAGGAATGAATCGTTGTCCTTGTCTTTGCACCCAGGATTCATTTTATGTAGCTTTTATTTATCTGAGCATATCTCCATGAGAGTGGTGCATAATTCTATGCTTTCTTAATCCCTGGAGGTAGTGCTCTTTGGACTTTGAATAATAAAAGAAGAGAAAGAAAGTTTGTCTGTATTTCATGAGCGAATCGACACTGGGGATTAAATGACTAAAATAATAACATGAGGAAAAAAGAATGATCAGTTATGATCACTAAGAAATTTATAAGAGAAATAAGTCAGACTTGAAAGCAAGATGCCTAAATCTTGTTCAGAGGTTTTTTTAAAGTGTTGGTAAAACATATGGTACTAATAACAGATTTAAAAAGAAGAGAAGTGTAAGTATTAGAAAATAAGTTAAATTTAGACATCATATAAGCATAGGGAGTTGACAATCATTATGAAATAAACATAGAAAATGGCCACCCTTAGATAATAGCTTAATAGCTAAAGTATGGAAGAATTGTAGAGGTGTAAGAGAGTTATTAGTGAATCAAGAATATATGGATAAACAGCACCATTAAAAAGTGGGCAAAAGACATAAATAGACACTTCTCAAAAGAAGATATACAGATAGGCATCAGACACTTGAAAAAGTGCTCAGCCTCACTAATCATCAGAGAAATGCAAATCAAAATCACATTGAGATACCATCAAACTCCAGTAAGAATGGTCATCATTAATAAAACAAACAACAATAGATGCTGGCAAGGATGAGGGGGAAAAGGAATGCTTCTACACTGCTGGTGGGAATGCAAACTGGTGCAACTTCTTTGGAAAACAGTGTGACAATTTTTGAAAGATCTAGAAATTGAGCTTCCATATGACCCAGCAATCCCCCTACTGGAAATATACCTGGAGGAACTCAAATCATTCTACAAAAAAAGATACCTGCACACACATGTTTATTGCAGCACTATTCACAATAGCAAAAACATGGAACCAACCATGCTGCCCATCAAAACTGGACTGGCTAAAAAAATGTGGTACATATACACAATGGAAAATTACACAGCCATAAAGAAGGACAAACAT